TTATTTATATCATTTTATCATATTGCTATATATAATATTTTTTTTCTTTCTTAAAATTTTTTAGGAGCATGCAATTGAAGCTCGTTTGATGCATATTGTACATGCAATTGAGCATAAAGAATGGCCTGTATCTATAAATTTTAGCGCTGGTGATGAATCAGATGTAACTTCAAGTGAAAAAGAATGTTCAGAAGTGATAACTATTACTACAGATCATGGAATATCACGTAATACAACAAGTGGAAATAATATTTCGCAATCTAAAAAACGTAAAAGACATATTGCAATTGATGTAGAAACTGAAAGAGGTAAAATTATATAATAACAATTCAGTTTATAAATATAATTTCTATTATTCTGTTTTACTATTCTATTTTAATAAATTATAATTTATTTTGATTATATTAAATTCTTTATAAAAAAAAATTTATTAATATTATTTTTTTATTTTAGCTAAACTTCATGCATTATTGAACAGTAGTAACCATACAGTTACGCAATCATCTGCAACTTTAAGTAAACCTGCTGTATTGTCTGGATCTAATACATGGGAAATAAATGATGAATCACAATCAGAAGAATCGAGACGCTCGACGCCGGTTCAACCACCTCCAGCGCATCAACAAACACGAACACCAAATATACCTTTTGATTTAAAATATACAGTTCCTGGAAAACCGACTGTAATTCCTGGAACTTCTAGTACTTTAACTCCTATAGATTTATCTGCTGGGTGATTTAATTTTTCATTTAATTAGTATTACGTATATATTTAATTGTTTATTCAAATAATATTCAAATTTTAGATATCCAAAAACAAACACGGATAATAATAAAGATATTATGAATGAGGTTCAAGACTTTTCAATGCCAAATAAAAATAAACAAATTAGTAGTAATAAAGGGAAATTAGATAGTATGTTAGACAAATTAATGAAAAGAAAGAATTGTGTATGTATAAGTAGAAATTATTTATTTATTTATTTATAGAATATTATAATATTATATATATTATGTTATATATGTTATATAATATATATAATATTATATATATTATGTTATATATATATTTATGAATAACAATTAAAAATTTATTTTATTATTAGCCTACAGATGAACCAATAATTGGAAAAGAGAAAAAACGGAGAAAACTTGATGAAATTGTGCTAGGATTAAGTGCAGCAAAAGAACAACAAAGTAGTCACTATCCTGAACATAGTAAAAAAAGTACAATTACACCAAATGTAACTGTTACTCCAACTTCAGCACCAATAGGGCTTCCAAATCCTCCAACAAGTACTCAAAAACCATTTTCCATTACTGTGACTTCAATTCCTTCTTCACGAGCATCTTCTTCAAATTCTACTTCTGGATTACCACCTCCATCTTTACATTCACATAAAGATAGCTTTTCTGCTTTACTTGTGCAAGCAGATCAACAAAATCGAGAATTTAAAAAACAGCAACAACATCAACAACAATCTCAACAACAGCAGCAACAACAACAACAGCAACAACCAAATTTTAATTCAACCCATTCATCTTCAACAAGTGCTCATAAGAAAAGTTATGAAGCAATGATCGCGGATATTAATAAAGTTGCTGAATATTCTTCTAAAATTGGATCATATTCTCATGAAGCTAAAGTGAATAAATGGTTAGCTGAACAAACTGCTATGTCTGAACAATTAGGTGCAGAATATTTAAATGCACCTAGACGACGACGACCACGTGTTGATCCATCTTTATTAGATTGGAAAAAATTGACTGGTGAAGAAAATGTTGCTGTGATTAACAGATTAACAGGCAAAAAGGTTTAAATATAAAATTTTATAAAACTTTATAAAAATTATATAACTTTTTTATTATTTATACATTATTATTATTTCATTTTATATTATATGTGTATATAATATTTTATAATATGAATGTATCTATATGTATATTTTTATATTTATATTTATATTTATTTTAGGTTACGGGTAGTAAAGCACCGCAATTAAAACGATTAGGTCAATGGTTGATTGAAAATCCAATGTTTGATGTTGATCCAAAATGGGCTGAACTGGTGAAAGAACGTGGAAATCTCCCACATGATTTACAAAAAAGATTATCCGGAAATGATAGAAATTATGTTAATAAGGGCAAGAGCCCAGGAAGACCACCTATGATGCCAAGTCCTACTAGTCAACAATCTGCAAATCAAGCTAATTTAGCAGCTACATCAATGGCTTCAGGTTTAAATTTTCCTTCGCTCGGTAATTTAAATAATTCTCTTTTGTCTGGTCTTTCTCTTGGCAATTTTGATCCGAAGAATAATCCTCTTTTAATGCCATTTGGTGGTTTACCTAATCTGGGTGCATTAAGCGGACTGGGCAATCTTAGTAACTTAAGTAATATGAGTTTAACAAATTCTTTATTCGCAAATCTTGCTGGTCTTGGTTTACCATCTTTAGCAGGTATGGAAGCTGCATTGGGTGCAACAGCAACTAGCACAACAGCTGAAACCAATCCTGTTGTTAGTTCTGTCAGCAGCAAGAATACAGGTTCAACTAATATTACTAGTGCTAGTAAATCATCTCGTAGTAAATTGGATCCTCCTACAAGTAAATCTTCGGTGCCTTCAACTTCATCAGCATCGTCTACAATATCAACAACGACACCATTTCCCTTCTTTTTCCCAAACCCTAGTCTTTTATATACACCATTGGGTTTGGGTGGTTTAAATCCATTTTCAATGCAACCGGGTGGAGTATCATCGGCCTATGAAAGTCTTGCTCAATGTGGGCTATTAAATCCATCCACTTCGAGTGCTTCAACAATTCGTAAATCTACATCTTCTACGAATAATTCGAGGCAACGTGATACAATTACCGAATCAACGACTAAACGAAAAGATGCAGAGAAGAAATCTAGGTATACTATCGATCCTACAATAACATTACAGCAGTATACGGATATGACTTTACATAATGAAGAAAGACGTAGACTAGAATCAGAAAAACGGGAAACCGTGGAACAGAATGATGTGGCAGATCTTTCTGAAAGACGTACTGAAAGGAAAAACAAAGAACAAGAGATGAAAGAAGCTCTGGAACATTTAAGTAGAACTAGTGCAGAACTTTTAACAAGAAATCTAGAAGATCAACAACGATTGAATGACAAAAGAAGTCGTAATGATCATAATCAAAGTTTAGAACAACAAACATCAAATATGCTTGAGGTAACTCTTGAACCTGTTAATAAGAAGCCAAGAATCGAAATTGAAGTTAACACACGACCTGCAACAACTGCCGTAACAACTACTGTAACTTCAGATATAACAACAATTGAAGAACAAGGCACGCGTTCATCAAATACAACAATTAAACAAAGTTCTATAGAAGAAATTAATGCATATAATGAAACATCTTTGAACACTAATAAAAAAGAAGTAGATGAAATAACTGCTGCAGTAACAAGTATTTCAACTACAGTTACAATTGCAGTTGCACCTACTGCCACACCTACATCTACACCTACACATACACCAACGCCTATATGTACGCCTACATCTACGCCTACATCTACACCTATATCTACACCCACACCATTGTCCATAACTACACCTACATCTACAACATCGATGTCAACGGTTTTAGAAGATGCAATTGCATCACAACAAAGTACTACTAATATTAAAAGTGACTCATCGAAGCTTTCATCAGAAATGGAAGAAGATAATAAAGGTACTAAAGGGAAAAAAGCACGAAGTGGAAAACGATTAAGTGTAGAACCTCCTCCAGAACGAAAAAATCTTCGTTCTAGTGCTGGAAGACAAGCGAGAGCAGCGGCAGAACGACAAGCAAGAATGGAAGGTGAACTGCAATCAGATCAACAAGAAACTCACACAAACGAGTGAAGTGAATTTTTTAAGTGAGTTCTAAATAATACTAGTGTTAATGATCAAATCTTCCGTTGTTGCGATTACTTTTCTGCAAATTTCTGCAGTATTCGCACAACGATTCACAAAAAGTTATCGATTCATAAACATTTATATGAATGAATCAATAAAACAATTCTTAATTAAATAGAGCACAAGTGCATTCAAAGAACTTGAAAAAAAGAAAGAGAAACATTTGTAGAATTTGATTTTTCCAGTTTATATGGAAATAATGGGATAAATACAAGTAAACCATGTACACATTACCATTGCTATCATTGTGAATGTATAACATTGAAGCTGTTAAGTACGAAGGCTGGCAATAGTATTTTATCATTCGATATATTGTGTGGTAATTAACTTTTAATTATATAACATTACGATAACAAAGTATAATTTTGTTAAATTTATTATTCTTTATGATCTTTATTGGTTTTGACGAGGGACTGTTTTATATAACTGCTATCTCACTATTGCGTAGATGCGCAACAGTTTGCGGATCATTCAAACATAAGATATAATCATAATGTAGTAAAGTAAATCTAGTAATAACTTAATAAAAAACAGTGTAAATATTATATACATTATGCCTAGAAATTATAAGTGATTGTGTACTTGGAGAAATGTATATAACACAGTGTACTTTTAATTACATTAGGTGATACAATAAACAGCTTTTTTTGTTGTTTGCAAATGCCAATATTAGAATCTTTGTTTTGATAATTACGTATACCTCTAATAATGAACAATCTTATAAAAAATAAATTATGAATTATATTAATAGAATCAATGAAGAATGTGCATGGATAATAATATGACCAATGAAAACTTAAAAGTATACAAAACTTCTTAAATATATTTTAGCGAATTGTTTTTAATTATTTTTACCGTGAATTATTGATAAGAAATTTTAAATAAAAATTGTTCATTTTTATATTTTTTTTGGAGTTATATGCTGCCATATACCACAATGTTAAGGCACTAAAAGGGATACGCTTATTTATAATTGTATTTCATGGAATAATAGTAGTATAATGTTGAGAAGAATTTAATATATTATTAAATATGTACTTTTTACTTTTTTTTTTACAAATATCAGTTTTAATAATTTAAGAAAATATATTGTACATTGTATAATGGTTTTTCTTGCAAAATATTATTTTTACAGCGGTTGCGATACAATGCGCACATAAGATTTACCCGATGGTAATGATACAAATTTAATATTGTTATACAATTTCTTTGCTTCTTCATCAGAAACAATAGGCTGAATCATAACTTCTCCACCTATCTAAAAATCATAAAACAAAATTAATTTTTTTTTACAGATGTAGTAATAATTAATAAAATAAAATAAATGAAAACCTTCCAATCAACTGGAGTTGCTACTTTATGCTTCTCAGTTAATTGTAGCGATTCAATGACTCGCAAAATTTCACTGTGTTCAAAAATTATGTTAAAAAATATATATAATTAAAAATAAAAATTTTAAGCATTTGTGAAATATAAAAATAAAATTACTCAAAATTTCTTCCAGTAGTAGCAGGATATAAGATTGATAATCGCATTTTTTTAGCAGGGTCAATAATAAATACTGCTCTGGCAGTCATAGGTATACCATTATTATCAACTTCTAAAGGATCTAACATTCCCAACAATGTTGCAAGTTTTCGCGTTTCATCTTCTATTATTGGATAAGGAAATTCTTTATCAGTTACTCCGGCATAAGCTTTTATATCCTGAAAAATAATTTAAAAAATTTATAATAATTATAATAATATATAATTAGTATATATTAAGAAATGAACAAGATAATTGTAATGGAAAGTATACTTCAATCCATTTACGATGAGAATCGACTGAATTACATGATAGTGCAATAACTTTTACTCCTAATTTTTCAAATTCAGGCATTAATTTTAATACTCGAGCTAATTCAGTTGTACAAACTGGTGTAAAATCATTTGGATGCGAAAATAGAATACCCCATCTGTAAAATTAATTTCATAATTTATATAAAATAATAACTTAAGAAAAATCATCTTAGATTAAAATAATAAAATATTTTTATATGATTTATTATTGAATGATTCAAAATAAGAATATCAAATAATTTGAAATTATATAAAGAATAATTAATGTATTTAAAAATTATGAGTGAAAATTAGTATAAAAATTTTACAAATTATGGAGCATATTATGTATATATCGAAAAATTACCGATAATAATAATAAAGGTTATGTTTATAAAGAAAAATTGTCTTACGAATTATCTAGCCAATCGTGAAAGTTAATTGGACCCATTTGACTATCTGCTACAAAATTTGGAAATGTTTCACCTAACAAAACCATAGTAGCGTTTAAAAGATACTTTTAAATTTTATTGTTATTATATTTTTGATATAAAAAATAAAATCACGTTATCACGTTACATATGTATAAAAATTGAATATCACTAATGATTAAATGTTGTTAAGGTGATCATATAACCATGATTTGAATAATTATATGATTAAAAATATATATGTAAAAATTATTTTAATCTGATAAAATTATATTATATTTTTAAAATTATATTAAATAAAATTAATTACATAAAAAATTAAAAATATTAAAAAAATATTTGTAAAAATTACAAAATGTAATAAAAAATTCTTTCATTTTAAAAAAAATTTTTGAATATTTATATTTTTTTTAATAAATTTTAATAATTAGAATTCGAAAATTGTTTTAAAATTAATGTAGGTTTCAAAATATAAAAGTTATATATGCATATAAAATTTCGCAGTTTAACATAATAATATTTTATTGATATCATCAGCTTTTTTGAATAATAAAAATATTAAAACTAAATTCAAATCTTTTGATTATAAAATTCAAATTGTACTATAATTTAAATCAACTCAAATTTCATAATGAGACCAAGCTCAAAATTTAAAATGAATTTAGATCCATCTATCTTATATTTTGTCTATGATATTGTATTTATTGCAATAGCAGCGACGTTATGATATGTAATATATGTAAAGCAAATATTTTATTTGTTAAATTCTATTATATTTAAAAATGTATAATCGATTTTATTTAAATTTTGTTACTTTTGTAACTAGATTTTATTCTAATGTTTCTATTCATAATATACATAAAGTTACAGTTTCACAATTTAGAGTTTCTATACATATACGAGGTTATTGTAAAGATAATCCAAGTAAAAGAATATTTGAATATTATGACAAATTAAATACAGAAAAATTAAAAATGCTTCTAGAAGATCCAAAATATAAAGCTGTTTACGATAAATATAATTTAGAATTGGAATACATAAAATATAATACAGGAAAAGTACCTAAAACATTAACATCAAGTAACTGGTTACATTTACTAAATTCATCAACAAAAGGAAAAAGAAGGTTTAATTTAATATTAATTTAAAAATAAAAATTATTTAAAAATTTATTTTTATTTTAATTTTAATTTATATCATAAATATTTAGATCTTATATAGAATTTCTTTGGAAATTAGAACAAAAACAAAAATGTGAACTACAAAAAAAGTTAGAATTAAAAAAAAAGAAAGAAATAAAAATTAAAAAGGATAATAAATATTCATTAGGCAATTCATTATTTATGCGCATATCTGACAAAACAATAAGTGAGTTTTATAATAGCAGGCTGATAAGTGCTATGTTACATGAACCAATAATAATATATGATCTTGGATATGATGAATATATGGAACCATTTGAACAAGAAAATTGTGCAAAACAATTATTATTATCTTTCTCAACAAATCGAATGCATGAGGAACCTTTTAATCTTTATTTTTGTAATACAAACAATAATAGTACCATTATGCAAAAATTGCATAAATTAATACCACATTTATATGAACCACATTTTCCATTAAATATTACTTCAAAATCCTACTTAGAAATATTTGATAAAAAACAATTAGTATATCTTACTCCTAATGCTCAAACAAGTCTAAAAAAATTTGATCCTAATCTAATATATATAATTGGTGGAATAGTAGATAAGGTAACTAATAATATAAATATTATATTTCTATAGATATCATTTTAATTTATGCTACAAATTAAAAATTTATATTATAAATAAAAATTTGTCATAAAAATAATATATTTTAATTTATATAAATAATTTATAACTATTGATTTAAATTTAATATAAATAAAGAAAGTATATATAAAAATATATATATAAAAAAAGTTTTATAAATTATTATAAAATAATAATGACATTAAAACAAATTTTTTATTTATTGTATATATTTAAGAATTAATATATATATATGAATATTTTCAGAGAGAGTGTAAACCATATTCATTTCAAAAAGCTAACAAAGAAGGTATTAAAATGATGAAGTTACCCTTGAGTGAAGTATTAAAATGGGGAGCAGGATCTTCAAAAAATCTTCCTATCAATCAAGTTCTTTCTATTATGTTAGAATTAAAACAGACTAATAATTGGAACATAGCATTACGTACTATACCTAAACGGAAATTAAGGGAAACAAGAATAGAGCAACAAAGAAAAAAAGAAATAATGATATTAAAATATTTAAGATAAAGATTCTAGAATTTAAAATAATGTGAATTTTAAATTAAAATTAAATAAATATATTATTATATATTTTAATTTTAATATAATTTCAAATTAATTTCTAAATTAATTATATTATAATTATAATAAAACAAATAATATTTTAGAATTAATTTAAAATAAAAATTTTGATTTATTGTTTTAAAAAAATATTTTTTTATTAATAAAACTTTAAAAAAGTAAATAAAAAAAGATTATAATTATTAATTAATATATTTAAAATGTGAATATCAAAATAATATAAATAAAATTTATTTATAATATTTATAATATTATATATTATATATTTATATTTACTTATAATATTATTTATAATATTTTATAAATTTAATATTAAAAATAATATAAAAAATATATCACATCTATTATACATTGATTAATATATTTTTTTGTTTTTAATATTTTCAATCTTTTAATTGACTTTTACAATCTTTTAATATACTATTTTTTTAATTACATAAATATAATATATCAAATATAATTATTCTATTGTATACAATAATAATATTACGAAATATAAAAAAAATAGAAGTATCCTTTTGTAAAAATGTACGACGCAAAATAAATTGATAATTAATATTTATTTTATATGTTTTGTTTATTTACAAAAAATTCAATACTAAAATAATAATTTATAAAATATATCTATATGCAATAAATATTGTTTAGTATTGTTTAAATACGAAAAATATTAATGCATGAATACATGCATAGTTAGTGTGTTCAAAAAAGTACATATATTATACATTTTTTGTACTAAAACAAGAATAAAAGATAATAAAATTTTCTTTTCTTGTATTATTAAATCTTATTTATAACTTTTAAATGTTCATAAAACTTGTTATATAGATCATATGTGTAATTATAAAAATAGTAAATCTTAGAGTGATTAACCTACATTAATTGAACTTTAAAGTTAAAACTTTTTGATTAATTGTGAATGACATGATATCTCATGACGAGATAAAAGTTGAAGTAGTACCGATAAATGGAGAAAGAATTGAAGGAAAAGAAGAAACTGTTATTTTTGTTGAACAGTTTGTTAAAGATGTGTGTGACTTTAGTTCGCAATATGGAAGTAACATTAGTATTTCATATACAGCCTATAATATTGCTGGAAATCCAAGTAAATTTCCTGATTATGGTGATTTTCCACAAGCTTTTGTTATGGTATGTTAATTTTTTAAGTCAAAATTACTAGATCAAATAATTATAAATAAATATAAAAAAAAACAATTAAGGATGTTAAATTATTTCTCATAAAATAAAATAATTTTGTAAGTTATCAAAATTATTAATAATATTTTAGTAATTTTACAATAATAATTTGTTTAGAAATATAATTAAAATTACTGAAAGTTGAGAAAAGCATAAAATAATATTAAATTTAATAATAATTTTAAATTTAAAAATTTTGGATATTGTCATATTAAATATTTTTTGAATCTTTAAAATAACTTTCATAAAAAAATATTGTAATTAATAAAATAATTTGTAATATTTAATAATGATAATAATGTCTAATAATAATAATAATAATAATGTTTTTTATATAATATATAAATATATAAATATATAATATTTTATATATATATATAAAATATGATGTTCATTATATAAAGTTAATAATAAATGAAATTAATATATTTATAATAATGTTTATATTATATTCAATAAATTATAATTTTAGAGAACATATGGACAATGGTGGGATAAAGCACCTTCAAGATTAATAGATTATATGCCACAGAACAATATAAATATTACTAGCCAGGATTATATAGGTATATAATATTTAAATTAAAAATTAAATATTAAATCTTTTAATATTTAATATTCATATTATAATATTTCAATCATTTTTCATAATATTTTATATTTTTATTCTTAAAGATATTTTTAACTTATTGGAATATTATACTGATACCATTAATACTTATGATATATGAAAAATGGAAATAAATTAGAATATTTTTTATATTATCAAGATCTAGAATATTATCAAGAGGTATATCCAATTAGAGTATCAATATATGAAACTTACAATCCTGGAAGTGTAATTGGGATTTGGGCACAAAATTCCGAAGGCAAGTGGTATCAATTATGGAATGGATTTCCTCAAGTTGTGCCACACAAGCCACGAATATTTTCTCCATATTTGCAGCTATGTAATTTTAAGACAAAAGTAATAAGACTAGAATTTAATCATACTTTATTAGACTATTATACAGAATTAGATGCTGTATTACTTATTGGTACATCAGAATTAATTGTACCTAATAACTTGCACAATCAAAATTTAAATGATCTTTCACAAGAATTGGGGTATCTTAAACAAAGTGATGATGACATTTATAATTTAACACCTGATTATTTAAAAGCAAATCAAGATTTAACAATTCTTAAAAAGACACTTTCTAAACACTGTAAACTTTTTAAAAGGTATATTGATATTAATCATTATTATTTTAATATTTTAATAAATTAATGAATGTGATATATATTTATCAATTATTACAGTAAAGTAATAGATAATATATCCAAGGGTAAATTAATATCTAAAATAGGTCAACATTATCAATCTGTTCCTCCTATAGAAGAAGCATTTAATAGTTTACAACAATTTTTACAAGAAGATTTTCCAAAACTTATTAGAGATATTCATCATTCAATACCAGATACTACTGAACAAAATAATTCTCTCCAGAAAAAATTTTTAGTATCTTCAACTGATTTTGAAAATCAATCATATTGCAGTTTTTCAATACTTCCGGTAAAATAATTTACTTTATTATATTATATAAATTTTAGAAATTAATAGAATGATACTTATTATTAATATACTTTATTTTATATATTTCTATTTTAATATAATTTTATTTATTTTAGGATGAAACTGTATTAAAAATTTTAAAAAATCTAGATTTAAGATCATTATGTTGTTTATGCAGAGTAAATAAACATTTTAATAACATTGCAAGAGATGCTTTATTGTATACAAGTCTTAATTTAAAACCTTATTGGTATTGTTTAGATACAGCTGCATTAAACAGTTTAACACCTAGGTGTCATTATTTGCAACAATTAGATCTTTCATGGTGTGGAAATTATAATATGATTAAGTATCAAGATTTTATATATTTTCTTCGTATATCTGGAACTGTTTTGACACATTTAAGACTAAATTGTTGTCAATTTGTAAATGATTCTATTATTCTTGAAATTTCGAAAATATGTAAGAATTTAAAAGGTAAATAAAATTTTATTATTATATATATTAATATTATTTCAATGATTTTAATTAAAAATATATAAATTTTTAATTTCAAGCATATATATTAGCAATATATTATTTTTAGAATTATGTTTGTGTAATTGCATGGGCATAACGAACGAAGGATTTTCAAAGCTCGAAAATTTAAAATATCTAGAACGTTTAGATCTTTACAGAACAAGCATAGAAACTTCTACATTATGTTCTATTTTAAAAAGGAATACTCAAATGCGTCATTTAAATTTAGCAGGAATGCATGACCGTTTAAATATAGATGAAGTTGCTGTTGAGTTAGGAAATTCTTGTCCATATTTAGAAAGTGTAGATTTTTGGAAAGCACAAACTTTAACTCCACAGGGAGTCAGAGCTTTAGCTCACTGTACTAAACTTCGAGAAGTGGATTTTGGATGGTGGTATGTTCCAGAAAAAAATATTGTTTATATAATTTTTAATGTTCAATTTTATCTATTTTAATAATTATTTCTATAGCGGTGGTATGGGTGCTCCTGGTGATTCCTTACGAGCATTATTATTTTCATGTCGCTATTTGGAAAAAGTATTTTTAGCAGCACTTAGAGGATTAACAGATCGTGATTTAGAACCACTTTTATTATGTCAACGATTACAACAATTGGATTTATTAGGAGCTCGTTCTCTTACTCCTGATATATGTTATGGAATTTTATTATTTTGTCCTAAATTAGAAATGATTGATCTTAGTTTTTGTGAAGGTATTAATGATTTTATTGTACAAGAATGGCGTCAACAATATCCACATGTTTCTATTAAAAGAAGTTTTCAAGTAATTACCTCAAATATGATATAATAAATATTTTGTGATATTTTCATAATAGTGGCCATAATTTAAAATAAAAATAGATATTTGTTTAATTTTAATAAAATTTAATATAGTATAAAATTTTGGAAATTAATGCCATAAGACTGTAATGTTATTGTATATATATTATATACAAAATATTATTACTAAAATATATGTATATTTATATTCGTTTTTTTATAAAAATATATGTATATTTTTATTTAATATTGCAATTTAATATTTGTACAGTATAAAACAATTATACATGTAAAAGCAATATTATTATTAAAGATATTCAAATTGTATAAAATGTATTATATTTAATATGATATAAATACTTTGATATAATAAATTGAATTTTTATAAAAATATAAATGATATATGTAAACTTTATAAATAATCTCTATATTCTATTTTTATATACATTTAAACTTTTAATAATAAAAAGTTGTTTTGCATTAAATAAAAATTGAAAATTAATATTAATTTAAAATTTAAATAACAAATGGCATACATAAAAAATTGTCTTCTGTTTGTATTAATTGGATTATATGAAACATTAGAATTGAAACTGATCATAGAATATTTATAATTTAAACGCTATTCATCATTTAATTATGACCATGAATATTAATTTTAGCGGTTATATTTAATCGGAAATAATCGGTGATAATTGGTAGCTAATACATGGTTAATGATTATTGTTTAATATATACAAGTGAAAAGTGCATGTGGTTCTCTGCTTAGTATAGGTTATAAATTCATTATATTGTATACAATATAATATTTATTTGATATACAATGAAAAATATAAAAAATATAATATAAAATATAAAATAATATAATAATAATATCGAAACTAATATTAAGAAAAAAAACTGGTATAATTTTTTTTTTTATATTTCGTATATGAAATAATATTTTTTATGTTATAATTATGTATATTTACTATGTTATATGAGAATTAGTATTAAATTAAAAATTAGAATTAGAAAGAAGAATTTTATATTATTATAAATTTTTAATTATGAATTTTATATTATTTATATTATTAAGAATTTTATATTATTATATAATTTTTAGAACAATTTTTGAAACGGATTTAATTACTTTTATTTTCAAGTGAAATTCTTGAAATATTTAATAAATTTTATTTAAAATTTGTAATTTCAGATATAAGTTTTGAATATAATTAATATTAAAATATATAAAATATAAAAAATAAAATATAAATATAAATTGATAAGTACAATAATAAAAACATGCTCAAAAGAAAATTATTTTGTGAAACTAACATAAATACAAAACAAAAGAAAAGAAATACTATAAATTCAATGTTAGATAATATATCTCATGAGAATTATACAAAAGAATTTGATAATGAATCACTACAAGAAGTTCAAGGTAATATACAAAATGAATATTTTAAATTTATTAGATATATTTTTATCTGTTGCATATATTTTTTTATGTTATGTATAATTATTTATATATATATAGTATATTATATATATTATATATATATATATATATATATATATATATATATAATTATTTATATATGTTGGCTGTTTTTCTTTATAGATGTGAAAACTAATAAAAAAGGTGAAAAAAATAAAAAATGTAAAATGGATACAAATAAAGTAATAAAATATTTGGATGGAAAATTTTTTAAAGAAAGTTTCAATTCTACAAATGACTTAGATATATTAAGAGAATTTATAAAAATCTGTAATGAAAACAAAGAAAAAGATTTGGCTGCAGAATATTTAAATGCAGGTGGCAATATTTTTGATATATTAAAATTATTAAATACAGCAGATAAAAAAGAAATGAATACTGCTATAATTGTGTTTTCTGCAATAAGGATATTAATAATAAAGTAAATGTTTTATAATTATAATTCAAAGTTTATACTTATTAAAATATTGCATAATTATATGTTTAATATTTATGTTAATTTTTGTTTATCTTTAGAATATTAGGACAATATCCACAATATCAATCTAGTGCAAAAGAGGCATGTCGTCATTTGATTAATTCAAATTTATCAATAATTCATTCAATGTTATCAATACAAAGTAATGCAAAGCAACAAAAAATAATTTTACAATTACTTGCTGCAATAGTTTCATTAGATTTAAATCTATCACGTGAATTGCTTATTCATTTGTCTTTACCATTAGAAGTTATTAAGTTTCTTGTACAACATAGAAAACCTACAGATAATCATAATATAAGAAATTATTTCATTCATTTTATTATGGCTTTTTTAATAGAAGGAAATGTACCAATTATCAGACTTCTCTTGGATAAACGTGATTTGTTTTCTAGTATATTTTCTGATTTAATATATGATTCTAAAGATATTGTTATTTTAATTTTAAGTACTCTTAAAACTTATATTCTTCATAATCCAAATATTAACAAAACTATGAAGTTACAATTATTTTCAACATCAATTATTCAAAATCTTATATGTCTTTATAATTGGAAAGGTCCAAATAATCACCCAAAATTTAAAACTCAAAGTTTTATGCCAGAAACACAATATCTTGAAGAAAAAGAGGTATTTATTATTAAAATTTTTTAATTAAAAATATTAATAATTAATTATATACTAATAATTAATATATCAATATAAGATATACTAATAAGATATACTAACAATATAATATAATATAAAAATATAATATACTAATAAATAATATAATATACTAATAATTAATATATCAATATATCAATATATATTTATATTTAATATTAATATTAAGTAATAAATAATATAAATATTAATAAAACATATTTTTATTTAGATAGTTATTGAAGTCGTGCATGATTTTTTAATTATATTGTTAACATCACATCGATATGGCATTATTTTTCATGATTATATGCTTGGTACTTCACATATTAAACATAATAATATGGTGAATATAGTACTTCAAAGTTTAGATCGACCTTGGGAATATGAAAAACCATCAAATTTAGTTATTAAAATAATGGCAGCATGTCCAGATTTAATTAAATCTCAATTTGTTTTTTTGGAACCATATATTGAACCCAGAGTATCATTGAAATGGATTGCAACAATAAAATTTATAAGAGAAGTAAGTAATTTAAATTTTTATTCTTTATATATTATTTATATATTATTTATATATATTATATATATATATATATTATTTATATATTATTATATATTATATTTTATATAATATTCTTTTTCATATATTATATAATATTCTTTTAATATTATTTTCTAAATTTTAATATGATTTATTTAAATTTCAATGTTATTACAGATGATACAGTCAATGGATATAAACACTTGTAAAAAGATATGTTCATTAGAATTAAATGTATTACAATTAGCTAATGCAATAATATCTTTAACTATACCAGTAGTAATTTTGAAACAAGCAATTGTACCAGCTTTGTCTCATTCTAATATAATAATACGACATGAGGCAATACTTACACTTACTACTATATTTAATCAGATACAAAAATATTTATCAATTTTAAAAAAAGTTTACAAAAACAATGATGATTTTTGTACATTTAAAAATTTTTTAACAGAGTTCATAATGAAGGTATATGTAATTCTAAAAAACATAAATTAAATGTTAATACTTGTTTTCTGAATCAATTTTATTAACATTAAACATAAAAATAACAATTATACAATATTAAATAATATATATATATTTTTCAGAATATACCAAATTTAAATATGATATTTAATGTATGGAATTCTACTTTCATATCAAATTTAGTTGAAAATAACAACAAAGAAAACATTATAGAACCAAATAGATATGAACATTTGACAGCTATTTTAAATTTATTACATATGTATAATGAAATATGTCCAAAATTATTAGACATAATATCTAATATGCAATGTGATACATTTTTAAATATATTGAATAAATTGGAAGATATAAATGTCATTGAATTCAATATTATAAAAGTAAAAGCTATTCATTTTTTAGTCATATTATATCCTTATGAGTTTTTTCCGCATAAAGTATGTAAAATAATTTATAAATCATTGATTATAAGTTTTTTTATATTTATAATATAAATAAAATATTTATTTTTTTATTATTTATAAGAATATTTTATTCTTTCCAGAAATTATTTAATGATGTATTATCATTCTTAATATCTATTTTAAATGAAGAAGTATCTTCAACTGCATTGAATATAAAAGCAACAATCCGATCTTTATTAAACAATACAGGAATGTTTGAAGAATGTAATGATCATTTGAATATTTGGATTAATGGTTTTATAAATTTAGATGATAGAAAGAAAGTAATAAAATGGTTTATTCGTATTATAAAAGAAGCGGTTAATGATATTGAAAAATATGTAAATGAAATAATTAAAACTGAAGAAATTTTTGATCAAGGAACAGTTCATATTGATAGATTTCAAAATATATTTGATGGTAAAATTTAATTTTTTAGTTCAATATATTAATATATTAAATGCAATCATATCATTTTTTCTTTATTTTTTGCAGAATTAATGAATAAATCTGTTATTTACGATAATTTTGAAAATAATATTTTACGTATGCAACATTTTACATCAATATCACCTCTTTTATGTTGCATGTTACATAAGACTAAGGAAGAGTCACATCCTTCAATTTTATCTTATTTGTCTTATATTTTAGTACATACGTTGCATTATCAAGTAATACCTCAATGTTTAATACATTTAGCTAAAGATATTAAAAAATTACCAGTAAAAGAATATTTATTAAGTTGGTTAGAAAACAATAAACCTGTTTATCTTGAAGATATTCCCTCTATGACTTTAATATATAAACTAAATTCAGTATTTTTAAATGATACTGAATTACAAATAAATAAAATATTTAATGGCAACAATGTGATTACTTTTCAATATAATGAGGAGAATATAATAATTCATCATTCTTTATCAACATATGAAATTATATATTCGTTTAAAATGACTATATTTTATTTAATTCAACTTACTAAAAGAGGTGTTTTAACGAAAGTGCAATGTAATAATTATAAGATATTTTTAATATCACTATTACATATTGCAAAGAATAGTTCAAATAGTTATATTATTTTAGATGAATGTGCAAAATCAATTTTTACTCATCCTATTATTTTATATTATTTTTCTCCATTTTATCAAAAAAACGTTTTAAAAACTATGATGACTCTTATGCTTATTGATATTTGTAATGTAATAATTGCTTTGTTTAAAGAATATAATATAAAAAATTTATTTTTTCATTTCAAAAATAAATTACTAAGACAACTATATAAAATGATAGACAAAAAAGAAAAAAATGAAAAAATAAATAATATTGATATGATTATTACTTTGTTAGAGATATTACAATTGACATCAAAAGATATTGTTTGTTTATTAAAGAAATTAATAAAATTAGAGAATATTATATTTATTTCAAATGATAAAAATTTATCAATATATGGATATATAGTTCCGAAACTCTTACAAATAATTAATAGCAACGAAATGAAATCCGAACGAAATATATTTTTTGAGTTGAATGCAGAATTTGTTAAAGACTTATGTTTGCATTTATTATTTTTAAAATCAAATTTAATTATGAATTCTGAAATATGGGAAATAGCATTATATGGATATTTTTTAAATTTTTCGTTTAATATTGGTGGCATTGATATTAGTAAGTTATTTTCATAAATTATAATATTTTATAATATTATATTATTTTATTATAATAAGCAACTCTCGTTTAACACAGTTTTATTTAATATTTCGAGTTTATAAATTGCAACATTTTTTATTTAATGTGATTCAATTAATGCAAAGCAATATTTTTATAATAAATTGTTATATGAATAAATAATTTTTTAATTATTTTTTATTACTTGAAGAATTACAATTTAAATTTAGATTTTAAAATTTTAAATCACATTAATTTTATTTATACAATGAAAATATTTATAATTTTTTATGTTTTGTTTTCTTTCAATTTTATATGAATAGTTAAGTAGAAATATATATTTTAATAAATATATATAAAATTTTGAAAAATAAATAATTTATAAATTATAATTAATTTTGAAAAGTAAGTATGATTGATATATATTTTATATATATTTTTATATTCAATTAATATTTTTATTTAACATTTTATAGAGATTCATTAACTGTATTAAACGAGATATCATTATATTAATTTTTTTATTATTATATTTTATTACATTCATGAGTGAATTATATTGCAGATATTTTTACATCATTGTTATCAACAACAATCACAAATACAACTGTAAATTTAATTTCACTTCTTATTAAAAAAAATATAAAGTTTATACCCATTTTTGTGGAATATATAACAAAATCTAAAAATATAGAAAGAGGTAATATTGTATTACCTATAGTTGCAAGTAATTTAAATTTTAAATGGGATTTAGATTTTTTACAAAATTTGAGAAAACATTATGAAATTGAAATAATATCTTATTTGTGTAATCCAAAAGATACAAAATCTTGGATAGAAGAAAATGTTATTGCAATTTGTTATTTAATTAAAACTACATTTTCTTTTAAAACATGTCACGATATATGTAATATTATTTTACAAATTGGTGATAAATTAGATATGATATCTGTACAATATATACAAATTCTCCAAAGTATATATAATAAATCTGCTATCTTAGAATTGGAGAATGAAAAATTGATCATGAATTTGATACAAATTTTTCTTCATATAATTACTATAACTTTAAAAAAAGAATCTAAAAATATTCAAAAACTTCAAATTCTTTGTGAAGTATTAAATGATGCTGTTAAACATTTAAAAGATAAAAGAAAAGATTTTAGATTTGAAGCATTAAATAATAATCATTCATGGTCACAATTTATACGATTTTCTTTAAAATTTGGTCTAAAAGAAATAAAAAATAATAAAAAATCAGTGAAAATATTAAAAACATTAAGTACTTTATGTAATATTGCATATAAAAATAACAGTGATGATGAACATGTTAAAATTTTGTTTGAAATGGCAACTTCTCATTCAGAATTTATTAATATTATGTTGGATTCTTCAGATATTAAAAGTAAGATATTAATAATTAGGTATATAATAATGATAATATAATTGTTACATACAATTATTTATTTATTTATTTCTTTTATTTATTTATTTTTAGGAGATTTAGTAGAGTTGTTATGGATTCTTATGCAAAAAAATAAAATAGTTATGATATCGACCCATGTACCTGTTTATTTAGCAGCATATAATGCTACTTTAAGTGAAGCTGATCAATTCATTTTACTTGTAAGAATTATAAACAGAAAATTTATATTAATTTTTAAAAAAAAATATTAATGTATAAATTTATTTTATACAGATTTTGCAATATTATGAAAGTAATAATATTAATATTTGTGAATATCAGCCATATGTATGGGGAAATATGGCTGCAACATATTACAGTGTGAAAAATGATACATATACTTCTTTATGGAGGGAACCGTCTATTATTCAAGTTTTAAGTTTATTTGAGGAGGATATAGTAAACAATACTATAAAGAAATATCCTATAGATAGAGCTTTGAAGGTAACTTCATTTAAATCCTAAAAATGTTTAAAAATTTATATAAATTATATAATTAATATAAATAGTTAATATAATTAAAACCATAATAATTAAATGTGAGTATTTTTAAGTATATGATTAAATATTTTCATTAAATATGAATATGTGATTATTTTTCATTATATATCAATATAATATTGATTTATTTATTTTTTATAGAATAATGAATTATACAAAAAAGATGATGTATATGATCCAGCATTTTATTTGCCATTATTATATTTTTTATTATCAGAAAATAATATTGTATTATGTCATAAAGTTGCTCAAAGTGGAGCACTAGCATTGATATTTGCTGCATGTAGTAGTAAACATTCTGATGTTCGAATGATAGCTTATACTATTATTTCTAGATATTATACCCATTTGGAAACTTCTAAGTATTTTATATTATATTAATTAATAATAATTTAATACATATTGTAATACATATGATATAATTTTATATTTTTTTTCATTTTCAGTTCAAAAACCAAATTATTATGGATGCGATTAATAGATGCATTGCGTTATGGTATTATATCATTGCAATCGGAACTTAATACTATACGTTTAAATTGTTTAATTTCTACATTTTTAGCAAGAACATCTTTGATAACTACACAACCATTGCATCCACTTTATTCAACTTTACAAATATTTTTGGTAGCTAAACCAGCATTAAATATAAATACAATACCTGAATTATTACAACTTTTTCACAGTTCCGATATGCAATATAAAGTACACAGATGTTGGATTTTGGAAAATATTCGCGATAGTATGAAAACAGAAACTGAACTGGAAATCGCTTTTAAATGTGTTTTATTTAAGATACTTTTAAATTTTTATATTTCTAGTCTTTCAGATTCAGATACGAAGGTAAGATTTAAAAATTAAAAAAAATTTCTTTTATTAAATTGATTTAACTTATTTTTTATTTTAGAAACTTATCTTGGAGATTATTAACGTTACATTAAAAATTACAAAAGCTTCAATACTTTTTATAGAATGTTATGGATTACTTCCTTGGTTATTAGAAGTTGTTAAAAATTTACACAAATATGAAGTGCAACACATCGAACTTATAGTAAAAATAATGAACAAACTTCTTAATACTATATTGAATATAAAAGGAGATGTTATCCATTACAAATTAATGCTTTTAAATATTGCATTATGTTTAAAGTCATATTTAGTTAAAGATATTAAAATTAAGACTTTTATATTATATATTGATATTTTACAAAAATTAATTCTCTTAAAGCATATAAAAATAATTGTTACTAAAGAATGTATATTAGAAATTCTTGAATTCTCTAAAAAATTATTGGATAATATAGAGGAATGTGACGATATGTTACGTTTCGGTTGTGAATATGTAACTAAGGTAGATTTTTTAAAAAATGATGATGAAATTGAGATAGCAAAAAATAGTTTAAGAACATTGATATGGACTTGGTGTATTCATGAAATTGATTAACTTATTATTTTTGTATTTTTCTAAAAATTATTTTAATTAAATTTTCTTTTCTTTTTATAAAATAGTGTTCGTTAAACATTAGCATAATTAATAAATATTACTAAATAAGAAATTTTTCAACAATTTTGTATTTTTTTATTTAATATTACTTCCAAATTTTGCTCCACTATATCATAAGAATAATTTGTAATGGCACATATAAGAAATTTAAGAACTTCTTGGAAAACATGTATGTACAAAAACATCTGCATTTGGATCATTATATTTATCTTGATGATGTCGCAATACTAACGTAACTTGGATAATATCTAATTCTTCGGAATATGGTTCACCATTATAATATTCCCTCATTTTTGGTAATGCACGATGATTTTTCTGCAGATCTCGTCGTGAAAGTGTTACTGTCATGGATGTTGCTCCATTATTCAATTCTCGCATCGCTTGTTGCGCCACTTCATGACTTAAAGCGAGATGGGCAACATTATTTTGATCAGATTTGTTTAAAAAACCAGATTTCATTGAATTCGTTGTTCGCGAATAATTTTCTACGCTATCGCACGGTCCCGTAGCAGCTGCATTGGATGCATGACCTCTGGGATGTCCATAAGCCTTACATGTATGACTAAATACATTTTGCGATTTATCAAGTATGATACCTGCTGCTTTAGGTGATGTGCCAATATATCGAGCACCACCAATCATTAATAATTTTTCATTGTTATTATCTAAGGATATAAATTCATCGATTTGATCGATCAATTGTTTGATATTATTAGTTAAAAAATCAATTATGTTATTTCTTAGATCATTAGTGCTTTTTCCAATTTGAGCAGCGATGACTGCGAATAGACACGCGTTTAGATCAAGTTCGACATTAATAGGATCTTTATTGTTCAATAATGTCCAATGTCCTACAGAATTTAATGATTGTTCATGGTATTCGATATCGATAAAATTCTCATTTGAACTTTCATTCGTTTGATCATTTATTATTCGATACAAATTATTCATTGATTTCCATATTCGGATGGGTCTCTTTGTAAGAGAACTTAATGCGTTTACGTGAATTAAATTAGCTGGTCCGTAATTTTTCAAGTCATTAATTATATGTTTTGCTAATCTCATTTTCCATAATTGCTTATATTTCATATTTTCATACTTATCTCTCGATTTTTTATGACGCTCACGTAATTCTCTGTCGCGCTGTTTTTGCTCTTGTGAATCATCGTTACGGAAAAAATTTATGATCTCGTTAATATCGGACATTATTTTTTTTTCATATTTTTATAAGAATTTTATTTTTAATTTTTAATGCATTTTAATTGTATTTTATTCAAATAATTTTTTTCTTCTTTTATTTTATTATCTTTTTTTTTTTTTAAGAATTAGAAGTGTTTATATTTTCTAATAACGATTAATAATATTAATTTCATGAAATTGTTTAAAAAGGAAGAAAAGAATAATACAAATTAAATAAATAATAAAACAAAAAATTAATTATTAAAATAATTAAATCAATGAATAATTAATTAATAAAAGTTACGAAAAATGTATGTAAGAAAATTTGTTATTCAAAATAAAAAATGAGAAACTGTAATATGCAAAAATACCTTAATGCAAAAAGAATACATCTTTGGTTTGTATTTCGTTTGATAATTTTGATAATTGAATACTAGAATTTCGAAATTTTTACCAAATATCTGAATAAACGTTAAAATTATATTTTACATTTTCCGTTTAACCTTTATTCTAAACATTTCTTATAGATATTTCTGCTATGCTCATTTTTTTCAAACATATTTTTTATATATTTCATTCGATATTCATTTTTTAAAAATATGTTTAAAAAAAACGGAACAGATAAAAAATAATTAGGACATTGGCAAATTTAAAGAAAAAAAAAAAAAAAGAAAAACTATATCGAGGAAAAACGAGACGAATGGGAATTCTCGATTAAACGATTCTCAATTTTTCAATTTGAAAACTTTGAAAAATTTATAAATAAAACGGAACAAACTCGTTAAAAATGAAGAAAATCGGTAATAAGTCCACGTATATATTATACACTGTTGTTCGAATATAAAGATATTAAAATCACATCGGAATCATCATATTTTCGTTAATAAAATTACCTTTGAAAAATATGCATGTTCGAAATACATACAGAATAGAGAAAAATTTCGTGCTCATATATATATATATATATATATTTTTTTTTTTTTTTTCTCAAAAAAGAGGGGAAAACAATACGGATGGGAATCATCTTATCCAACGTTCCTCATTGCTCAAGGATAGGAAGTCTTGATCCCGAAAGTCTGAAAATCTCGCGAAGAAGGAAGCCGATCGTAAGCAACGACGCAAAATCACGATGGCAGGAGCGAGAAGTACGAGCGGATCGGTTTGCATTTATTGCGGGCACCGTAGCGTCTCGAAGGCGTACTCTCCCGAGAGAAATCGTTGTACGAAGAGAAAAAGAGGGTTTAAGGGCCAAGAGAAAAAGGAAAGCGTTCGTGGCGGTTGGAAATGAGCGGGGGATCGAAAGGCGGGGAAGGGAGTCCCCGGCCGGTGGTGGGGGATCCTCCGGATCCTCGATCCTGCACCGTTCCTCGATCCATGGATCAGTCTCGGTGCAACCGTTTATTCGGATAGGTTGCTGTCGCTTTCACGCCCGTTCCGTCATCTCGATCGATTTAAATGTTTCGTGCGGGTATCGGATTCGAATCATCGTCGGGCGAAACGGTATGAGCTGGTTTTTGCGCGATTCGTCTTGTTTACCGGTGATTCTGTCTCGAGCAGAAACGGTTTGATAACGGTTGTCGTTGTAAATACTGTAACGCACGGGGAGAGTGTAATTGCGTGATGGAACAACGATGAAATGTAATGGTTGATCGAGAGCGATCATGCGTGTTTTCGATCGGATCATTTTATTATTCGAATGTTCGATTGATTTGAATGTTGGGGCAAGCCGCTTTCTCTGCCCTGTTCTTTAGTGTCCGCAATAAGTTTTGGAATGGTGGAAATTTTTGTTTAAAAAAAAAAAGGAAAAAAAAACGTTGATTTCGCATAAATTTTCTTCGATTCGAAGATTTAAATAGCGCGACGGAAGGAAAATAAAATAGATGCTCGTGACTGATATATTTACGTAATTATTTGTTGGAAGTAGTTTTTTCAATCGTGTAATTCGCGATTACGTGTAATTATTCGTAATATTTTGTCTCAATTCAAATGAAAATTGTAAATTTAATCGATATATATATATATATATATATATAATTTTTCGAAACTTTTATTTATATTCTTTATCGTTGTTAAATTTAATTCAAATAGATTTTTATTCATAGGTTCAAAACGTTACGTTAAATTTACGTTTTAAATTTATTCGGAATTTCGATGATTTTGATTTATCTCCAAATATTGATCTTAAAATATAAATGATTTTAATATTCAATTATCAGATTTTATCGTAAAAAAAATTACGTATTCATAGCGTTTCATTTGTCGTTTGGCAGAATATACGGTGACATTGATGCCGCGACGAACATGTTCGATAGTGATATCAATGCCCGCATGAGAAAGTTACAACAACTCGTTCGATTCGCGATAACTTTATTTAAAACGGATCTGTGTATCTTCCGCGATTTTCATCCTCGTCTTCATCGACGTTTTTGTACCAAATGTAGCAAAATCGTTTGAACAATCGATCCGAAAATATATAACTTAAAAAATATATAACTTGAATATATAGTTTGAAAATTAATTTTTTTTTTTAATCCTCGAACATTCTTGTGTTAATAAAACAGTAATAAAATTGTATGCAATATTTTTTTATTACCGTACGAAGAAAAAAAATTTGTATATCAAAATTATTTGAAAATAGTGAAAAAGAATTATTCGTCTCGTTCGTGTGAAATTTTTATATTTAAGAAACAGTGTCTTGTTAAAAAAAAGTGAGAAAAAGAAGAAGAAGAAGAAGAAGAAGAAGAAGAAGAGAGATAAAAATTAATACAATCGTTAAAAAGCAAGATAATTATTTTATTTATATGTGATCAAAGTGTTTTCATTGACGAGTGTTAAACATGTGACGTACGTGATCGCATTTGGATTACGAGTATCTGGAAATTCAGTTTCGAATACGAATCATGTATGGCTGGTAAGTGGATCGACGATATATTATTTAAAAATTTTTCAATTAGAAACGAAACAAAAAATTAATATTTCCATTATTAAATTTCGATCTATCCTTGTCCACATCGATCCTTCTACACTTATTTTAACAAAATTCAAGAATTTGTTTCGCGGAATCATGAACGAAACGACATTGTTTCTGTACGAAAGGCGGTGGTCGTTTCGTGGAACTGACGAGTTTAACGTTCGCGTACCTATATGCTGAAAGAGAATGACGATACGCGAAACGTGCACGCATCGCCTAACGAATGTATACCTCGAATACGCATAAAGCCGGCACGTGTATATATTTATTGTGTTCTTTATTCAGTATGCATCCGGTGAGCTGCGTGGCACAGGTAATAATGGGTTTGCCGTTGGCCACGCAACAATGACGGCCTGTTAAACTTTTCCGCCGATGATCCGTAAGTTCGACGTGTGCGTCACACCACGCACGTTTTCGTGACACGTCTTATGTTTTACGCGAACACCGAGGAAACAATATTATTTCGCGCCTTTCCACCGTGTTCATCGATTTCCAGCTGAGTCGAATGACGATCGATACTAATAAACCTTTGTTTTTCAAAACGTAATGTAGAAATTTTTTTCCAGAAATATTGGATTTCTTTATGTCCTTATAATTTAGAGATATATCAATTTTAGAAGAAATATTATTGTTGTAAAGTTTCTGAAATATTTTCTTTCTCTGATGGAATAGAATCATAAACTCGAAAATTTTATCCGATTTATTTCTTTTTTCGAGTTGGAATAAGTAAATAGTAGATTCTGTATTTCGTTTCATAAAGTTTCTCGAATTCTCGATTTGGTTAAGTTTCCTTTTTTTTTTTTTTTTTTTTTTTTTTTTCCGTTTCTCGCAAATCTTGCAATTCTGACTGAGGATATTTTAAGAGGAAAAAGAGAGGAGGCGACATCCTGCACGAGGCAACTCGTTACCACGTGAGAAAGGTAAACTATACGTACGTAAGTATATATAATACAGGAAATGCGAAAGGAAAGATAGTGAGCACCTGCTATGGCTAAACTCGCCGATGCATAATAAGCGCAATAATTCCGTATGGGATAGTAACGAGTTTCGTGGTTCGATTTTTAAAAAAAATTCTTCAAGTGAGACATTTTTACATGCGCGATGTTAACTCATAGGGAACGATGGTTGCATAAATAATCGATAGTAAAATTAATTGAGTTCTGTTAGCTTAGATGATATCGTATACCGGTTTTCCAGGAATGTAACGTAGCTCATTCATGTTTTACATCGAACGTGAATACATTACGATGTTCTTTATACGATATTCGCGCCGATTCAAAGGCGGACAGATATCTTGGATAGAGGCGATTCGCATTTTTTGATTAACATAAAGGATTTTATTATTCTTCGAAACAAAATTTTTTTTGTCATTTTTCTTCCGAGTTTGAGTTTGATTAAGAATGAATAGATAGATTATAAAAAGCGAAGATTTATTTAAAAAAGAAAAGAATGGAAATGAATAAATCACGGTATCACGGGATTAAATTTATTTTCGATGTTTTGGAATCGTGATCTAGGAGAATAAATAAATTCTAGAATTCCACGTGGTTATCGTGAGCAGCAATAGACCGTAACATTTATGTTTCTTAGCGTGTGAGGATATATTAACACGTATCGATGAATATAACGTAAAGAAACTTGCACTTCATATATTATTCATGATCTGAAAATAAACATTTTCGATTTTTATTAATGTTTTATTAATCAACGATTCATATTCGATGAATTAATTTCTAGAAAATTCTTTAAAAAATTTGAAATATTTCTATTTTTAAATATTCATTAATGTAAAAAAAGGAATATAAGAAAAAAAATATCGTGAGAAAAAGATTGTGAATTTTTAATCCCAATTAATAATTTTATCTTTATTTCACTTCAAAAAAATAAGAAATTATTATTAAATTTAATGCATAAATATTTACGAAAAATATTGTGTTTCAAATAACCCGCGCTCTATTATTAGTAATTTTTACCTAACCTTCTTACAGATTTTGAAAAATGAATATGGCGTCAGTGATTAGACAGGTGTATGAAGATTCTCGCGATTAAATTTGATTTTTATAATAATTACAAAGTGTTTATGTATAAATAAAACTAAATTATATCGAAGTGATTCGTGTGTTATTAATATACACAATTACATGCCACACACAACAGGTATCATTGACTTGTATTATTTCTTAACCTTCGAGTATTGTTAACTCGAAGATGAACTACGTAATATTTTCTCCGATCGAAACTAAACAAAATTTTAACGTGCCAAGTGTAACAGGGTTAATTAAGCGTTGCTGATGACTCAATTTCCAACTTGATCGGTCACGTCGATTCGAACGGACTGTGGAACAGATCGTAAAAGATTCCAGCGAAATGTGATTCACCGAACGAAAACATGTCATTAACGGCACTCTTTTTACACACGCGAGTAGAAGATGCACCATCGAAATTCTGATCAGTTGAATAACGAGTCTACAAATACGGTCTGTAGAAACAATTTCTGACACTATGAATATAAATATATTATTTTCGTTTTTATTTAATTAGTATATGAGAATTATAAGTGTAATATTTCACATTATTATATATTATATAGGTTATGTCGATCTACTTTCTTTTATAAAAGATAAGATAGATTCTTTCTAATTAATTAAAGTCAATTTTCTTCTTTCTAATTTTTATCAGTTCATTCTAGATCATTTTCTTCGTTATCTTCCAATGTCATTCTAGCTACATTGAACTATACACAGTAGAACGGATATTACTATCTTTTTGTATAGAAACAACCAGTAATTAGACTTTATTCTTTTATTATCCATTTGCTTCAGGGTTGGATGCGATGAAGGCCTATGTATCTTTGAATTATTGCCATCATAACGATAATTCAGTATTTCAAAGCATCAAGAAAGGACACGCAAAGTTTATATGTGCAGATTGATAACCGAGTTAATATAGAGCTTTTTCGTCGTATTTTATGCATCGAACTATATGTTTAACGTTATCGATAGTTTACATATTATGTGTAGTATAGTATTTAGTATGTCATTGAGTCTTCTCTGAAAATTATATAGTTGATAGTTTCTATATATAATTTTTCTCTTCTCAGCAGTATGATTAAGGAATTAATAAATCTAGAGTGAATAATTATTAAAATAAATATTTATTTAAACAGTGGCATGATAGACATAATTTATGATTGTAATACAAAATTCAATATCCAAACAATTTAACACAGAACGATGTTAAATTAAATATTTCACATTAATATTATGGATCATATCAACGCCATTAAAATCTAATCAATATATATTTAATAATATTTAATAATTATGTTACACATTATTTCACTAAACAGCATTAATCTCGCCATACAAATAAATTTATAAAATCGTCGATCAAACACTTCTATAACTAGTCGCTACTATAAATCTCGTATAAATTATTCCTCAATTCGTATCGATAAATAATTTATAAGCGATAGGTGTTCGTTTTAACGCTATTTAATTTGTATTGAAATAAACTTGTTTTCGCGAATATTATATATATATATATATATATATATTATATATAGATTATCTTAAAAAATATGGAAATATGGAAACTACGATTAATTGGAAATTCCTGAGATAATTTCAAGTAACATTTTTCTTTACAAAAACTTTCATTACAGCTTTGTTAACGAATTACAAAAAATATTAGTCAATCATGGAGTGCATAGACTATTCAAGACGCGATGATAAAGAATGGGAGAAAGAGGATGATAAAGGAAGAGAAGAAGAGAAGAAGAAGAGAATGACGAAGAGAAAGAAAAAGGAGAGCATGAGCATGAAAAGAAAAGAAGGAAAATAGAGAAAGAAAAGGAGAAAGAAGTGATGAAGAGAAAGATGAGCGTGATAAAGGAGTGGAAGATAACAAAGAATAAGAGGACAGTGATAGAAGATAGGAGAGAAAGAAGAGAATGTATAAAGATGGGGAAAAAATCCTATATGAAGTATTAATAACGAATTTGCACGTGTTGCTTAGATTTTTTCGTACTCGATTTATACCAACTACTACTATCTCAGTTTGACTACTCTACGCGCTCTGTAATTGGCCAATATTTCTTTATTAATAATTCATTAACAAAGCTTTAATAAAAGGAAAATATTGGCTGAAATTATCTCAGAAATCTCCAATTAATCGTTTAATCGCTTTTATATTTTTTGGACGCTTTATATAGAGCCTCGTTTCGAGATCGATATTTTTCTCACGTTGGATCGCGTTGTCAGCTGGATCTCGATCCCTTTCGATCTTTCTTCGCGCGGCCATAGGAAATGGCGCGGATATATTTCGAACGCCTGGAAAGGTACTCGAGCGGAAAATTTGCTGGCAGCGGACGCGGAATAAAACCCGATCCATTTATCTAATATCTCGTCACGCGTGTATACATTCTTGTCCTATGCATTAATTAACCTAATCGCGACGGTACAATCAAACACATTTGCGGTCGGGCAAAACGCGCGCTCCTTCTCGCAGAATCCCGGAATAGATGGTAAACGATGAGATGCCGCATAATTAGACAGAATACATGCGGAGATGTAATCGTCGTACGTTGGATCAAATGTGAGATATAACGTTTCGCTACTGTATTTGGTCGAATGCGTTTCCCTTCGTACAATTCGAGCGAGCATTATTATCGATTGTATTTTAAAAAGTACTTTAAAAAATATCTTATCTTTTAAAAATATATATATATATATATAGAATTTATCGGTGAAGCAAAACATTTGTTTCGTGCGATTAATTGAAATTCAATATCGATGAAATATAGCGGAATATTCATCATTATTTTCATAAACGAATTGAATCATATTTTTTTTTGAGTAATACGATTCTATTCAACAAAACACGCGTGATATTATACTTGAACTTATATTTCTATAACGAAGAAGAATTTTGAAAAAGAT